ACCCTGCTATTCCGTGCCTCGATTTCCCCATCTGCAACAGGGGGCTGAGGGTGGTCTCCAGGAGCACCCAGCTCCCGGCAGTGCCAGGTGCGGCCACGTCAGCCACTTCGGGGGCTGGTGGGGACTGAGTGCCACCAACCCTCTGTGCCTCTGCTCTGGGACGGGAGCACAGGTCACGCCTGCCATGGTGAGGACCTGAGGTGGCCTCCTTCTCCGAGCTGCCACCTCAGGGTGTGTCTAGAACACGGAGGCGAAGTGGGGTGAGGGGAGCTGGTGGCCGGGGTCCTCAGGGAGAGCCACCACCAGCGAGAGAAGGGCAGGCGCTGGTGGCCTCGCAGGTTTGGGAGCAGGACGCCTGGCCGGGGCCCTGGGGGACCTGCTGCTGCAGACCTGGGCGGAGTCCTTCCTCSGCTGGCTCTGGTGGGGACCGCCACCTGGGGGGCCCTGGCCTGCCCCTGCCTCCAGCCCCCCCCAAGGGCTTTCTCCCTCTGTGTCTCCCCGCGTGTCYGCCTCTGGGTCCGAATGTCCTCTCTCGATAAGGACACGCCAGTCCCGGGTTAGGACCTCGCCTTAGCTGGGCCTTCCGCACGGATCCTCTTCCAAATAAGGTCCGTTCACAGATGCCAGGACTTAGGGCCACCATGACCTTAGGGGACCCCCTCCATCCACAGCCACAGGGGGGGCTGGAGAGAGCGAGGGGTGGGAGCCAGCCTGCCCTACCTGGTGACAGCAGGACTGTGGGACTGCCCTTGAGATGGCCCGGCAGGGATCCAGGGTCCTGGCTCTGCTGTCTGCTACTGACTGGCGGCCAGCACAGGAGAYGTGGACCTCAGAGACCAGGAGGGGACCCGTCTTCTAATCTCCCCAGCACCCTGGGGCCTGAGCACCTCGGGTGAGCGTTCCAGGGCCACTTAGCCTGGAGCAGGCAGCCCTGGTTGTATCAAGGGGACCAGAAGGTTAGCAGTCACCTGCCCTCTCTCACAAGCCATGGCCACAGCAGTCGGGACGTCCAGGGCTCTCTCTGGGTGTGGCCGCTGCCCTCCCCGTCTCGAGCAGAGGTCCTGATTTGGGCAAGAAGAAAGGTCTGACTCCCAAGTCTTCATCGGCTGCGTGGCCTTGGGTGGCCTCTCTGACTTCGTCTCCCTAAAACATGTCTCTTGCTGCACGCCTGTCCTCCTAGCTGCTCGGGAGGCCAGGAAGATGGCAAGTTCAAGGCCAGCCTGGGCAAGGGGGAAGCTGGACCCTGGGCCCCTCCCAGCAGAGTGTGTGTGTGTGTGTGTGTGTGTGTGTGTGTGTGAACACTCGGCCTCCCTCCAGCTCTGAGCCGGCAGCGTTCCTGGGGGCGGCGGAGGAGGGGCAGGCTCCTGCAGCCAGGCCCTGAAGGTCAGGAGCACATCCTTTCAACCTGGAGAGGGTGATCCCGGGATCTGTCAATTTATTTCTGTGAAAGTCATCGCAAAGATAAACAATTTTAATCACTCTCAGTTGTACACTTAGTGAACTGTCTTTTTTTTGGGAAATGATTGCAAATTACCCAGAAAAGGAGACAATTCAGAAAAAAACGAAAACAGAGGGGAACACCAGGAGGCCATGATTAAACATTGGAAATGCAGCCTCCTCKGAAGAGCTGGGCTGCAAGGACACCCGGGCTGGGGTGGGGAGYTTCTAYGGTGTCTAGCGTCATCTGGCAAGCTGGCCACACGTCACGCTGACCAAGCATTCTCCACGTTCCAGAGCTTTCCGCAGGTTCAAGTCACTCAGCGCCTGAGGTACCACTAAGATGCTCGTTTTAGCCAGGCACCCTGGTACAGCCTGTCATCCCGCAACTCAGGAGGCTGAGGCAGGAGGATCGTGAGTTCAAAGCCAGCCTCAGCAACTTARCAACTCAGTGAGGCCCTGTCTCTAAATAAAACACAAAATAGGGCTGGGGAGGTGGCTCAGTGGKTGAGCACCCTGYGTTCAATTCCTACCACCTGTCCCCAAAACAAAACAGATGCCCATTTTAGACAGCCCCAGAGCCTTGAAATGAGAGGCTCCAGCGGTAGGGAAYGCCCCTCCCAGCAGCCAATAAGGGGAGCCGGGCCCTGGGAAGCCCCCAGCTCAATCCCCCCAGTCATAAATATCCTCCTTTCTAGTGGTTTCGGACACTTTTTAAATGGAAGACATGTTCTCCTTGAGGTCCTAAGTGCGACACCATGGTACAGACCCATGGCCAAGGCCACCTGCTCCTGCTGGAGCTGGGGAGGTGTCCTTCCCCTCCCTCGGTCCTTAGGGCCCGCGAGCCCGTCCACGACCACCCTTCTTGTCCAAATGCCRTGGAGGGCTGAGGCCCAGCAGGTAAGGGAACCGCCAGGATGAGCAGGACCGGAACCCGGGCCGTGGTCTTCTGACCCGGGGCTCTGTTCTGTTCTCCCAGGAGATGGGTGCCCAAACCCGCACACCAGGTGTGCTGTGCCCAGGAGCTGGGCCACAGCGCCGCCCGCTCGGCATGGCCAGCTGGGCCAAGGGAGGACCTCCAGGCCAACTGAGCGGTTGGTTTGTGCGCCTGTCTCTCTCCCCAGGTTCTGGAGAAAAATAGAGTCTAAGAGCTTCCTGAAGGAGACTATTTTCAAAAGAACCCACACTTCAAGGCCACGGGAAGGCCTGGCYTCAGCCCCCAGCTCTCCAGCCACGGGCTTCCAGGAGCGATTCTTCCCCAGCTTCCCCGCGGGAACAATGAATTCTCCGCAGGTCCCTCCTGCAGCAGGAAAATGGGGCGTAGAGGCTCCTGGACAGATCACTTCCTTGGAGGTGGCCTTCTCCTTCCTCCTCTCCCTGCCCATGATTGCAAGAATATTTTGAGTGCTGTGCTCTGCAAGAGTGGCTTCATCTCCTACAGGACCAAACTCTCCGGGTTCCTCACTTCTGAAAAAAAATACCTTTTTTTTTTTTTTTTTTTGGCTTCATCTACGTGTTTCCCAGTTGAGGGACCTCACAAGGCTACGGCGGCCAGGCTTCCTCGCCTTGGGGTCCTTGCTAGCCGTCCATTTCAACAGAGAGTGGGGCCCAAGCCTGCTGCCCTCCCAGGTGGAATTCTTTTTAAGGTGGTTAAGGATACACTGTTGGAATTTAATGATATGTCTTACTTTCATTGTATTTATTTTTACATTTCCTTCTATTTATAGTCATGGGATGCTGGTTTCCCATTTATGGTAATGATATAAGATATCTTTTTTAAAACCAGCTCCTTTAAGTAAAACAAAAAATAAAATCAGAGTTGATTTAAAGACCACTATTAAGCAGAGGCCTCAGGGGTGCACAGTGAGGGCCCAGTTCTCTGTGGAGGCAGGAGAGGCCAGAGGCCTGGGAATACTGACCTGGACTCACCTCCAGCTGGGCAGGTGGGCTGCTCCACCCTCCTTCCTCGCTCTCCCAGCCTGGTCTTCAAGCCCAGGCCCTCGGGGCTCCTTCGGGGCTCCCTCTGATGTTTCTGGCCTCTACCTCCCAAGTACCGGCTCCCTTGCTCAGGTCGACTTTTGTCCTCCTGAAGTGTCCACGGGGCCTCCCAGAGCCTCCYGCAGCAGCAGTCTGGGGGGTTTCTTAGCCGGAAGGCCAGCCTCTCCCCTTACCCTGTTTGGGCAGCTGGAGGAATGAACGGAGACCTCTTGTCTCATCCTTGCTCCTGCAGAAATCCCACTGTGAGGTTTTCTCCTCTAGGTGAGTGACGCCGTGCTCACACTGGTCCCTTGAAGAACTGGGAATGGGGGCTTTTTCTCCGGTCTCCACTGTCCACTCTAGACACTCCGCCCCCATTCAACTTTCTCTGTGATCCAGTGTGTAGTGGTCACCAGGACCAGCTGTCCCTTAACTCCTTGGAGGAGCATACCTCTTTCCTGGAGTGTGGACAAGGAGAGGCAGCAACTTCCTGCTCCTCAAAACCGCCGTCCCACACCTGACACCCCCAAACCTTCACAGCCAAGACAGGAGTGGCTTCGATTCCTATCAGTCACTCACTGCTTAGTGAGAATCAGTTAGCCAAGGCCCTCCTGCAGTGTGTGTGTCTGTGTGTGTGTGTGTCTGTCTCTCCAGGGTCCACCCACAGGGAACCTTCAGAGCTTCAGAACTGTGTCACCAAGGGAAGAAGACCAGGCACSCGGAGCCTCTCTTCTGGGCAATTACAAGCCCTCTCTCTGGTGCTGCCTGCTTTGATCCTCTGGCTTGGGCAGGGCCCCACCGCAGCCTTTTAACAGAGAAGGCTCAGAGGTTAAATGTCCCTGTGAAGTCATGTGTCAGGGGAGGGGTGTTGCTGGGGCAGTAGTACACAGGAGAGACCATCAGCTCCCSGCGAACCCCCAGCCCAGTCATTTGCATCTGGTCCTTCTGCCTCCTCCCGCCGGAGCCCAGTGGCCCCGCGTTCTCGGCAAGCCCAGGAGGACCCACTCCCCAGGCTCCACCGAGGTCGCTGTGGAGGAGTCCCCCGCCCATCCTGCAGGAGGGCCCAGGGCGCCGCGTCAAAGTTCCCCCCGGAATGAATCCTTCGGGTCTGGCGTGCCACTGTCCCACTCCCCCGGTGACCTCCCCAAGCGAGGGCGGAGAGCGCGGCGGGGCCAGRGACGGGGTCGGGGCGGAGGCGGGGGAGGTGGGCAGAGGGACCCCCGGACCCGGAGCGAGGTCTGGATGCCGGCGGGAGGCGGAGGCCGAGGCTGCGGCCGGGGAGACGTGCCTGAGCGGCGGCGGCGGCGGCGGMGGGAGGGAGGCGGCGGGAGGGGCGGGAGCGCGAGGGGGCGGGACCGAGCGGGGCTGGAGGTGGGGCCGGCGGCGGCGGCGGGCGGGCGGCTGCAGCTGCCGCCGGCGTCTCGGGGGCTCCAGGCTGCGGGCGGACGCAGCRCCGAGCGATCCACCGCGAAGCCGCGCGAGGCCGCCCCTGCCCGAGCCCCGGCCGCGGCCCGGAGCGAGCGTCGCCGCCGCCTCGCGCCGCGGGTCCCCGGCCGCGCCGCCACCGCCAGGCAGGCAGCGGGCGCCCTGCAAGTTGGGAGCGCGCCTCTCCGCCCGGGAAACTTTCCCCCGCGGCCGCCGGCGAGTTGGCGCGGGGTCCGGCCGCCGCTGCAAGGTAGGCGCGGCCCGCGGGGCGCTCCGTCGCTGCCTCCCCGGGGCCCGGAACACCCGCGCGCGACCCCTGGGAGAGCGTTCCGTCCCGTGGGGTTTGGGGACGGGATGCGAGTCCCACGATCGTCCCGGGGAAGCCCAGGAGCCAAGTTCTACTCCAGCTAGCCTTGGAGGGGGCACGGGAGACGCACTGGCCCCGGTCCCTGTCCGGAGACCGCCCAGGAYCGCGAGCTTCGCCCAGGACAGGTGCAGTACCTGCGGCGACAAGCGCTCCCGGGGGCTGAGTGGGAGCTCCCGAGAGTGGCGAGGGGTGGTGGTGGCAGGTGTGGTTTCAAGGTTCAGGGCTTCGGCCAGGGCCGTGCCCTAAGGAAAGGGATGCGCCCCGAGCCAGCCTGGAGGAGGACARGTAGGGACAGAGACCCGGAGGGGGATCCGGGGGGGAAGATGACTGGACCCGGCCGGGGCACTGAGTGCGCGCCGCCTTTGGGGTCCCAGGCGACCAGGCAGGGCGGGGGCGCCTCGCTGTCTTCCCGCGCCCGCGTTCTTTCCTACGAGGGGTGTGCGGCGGGGGTCAGCGGAGGATCGGTGGGTGCTGCGTGGGTCGGAAGCTCGGGCTTCCCGGGGTTAGCGTGGAGGGAATGGCTCGGAGCGCCGCGGGCCACGGCGGTTCGCGCCCGCGCTGGCTCCGGGCTGGAGCGAGGTGAGTGTCCCCGCCAGGGGGCGCCCTGCCAGGCCACTCTCCCTCGGAAGGCGAGCGCCGGCGCTACCCSGGCTGAAATCGGGACACGCGGAACCCCAGCCCCACTGCCCGCAGGCTGGGCTCCAGGGCGCACCGGCACCCGCCCCAGCGGACCMGGGGAGGGGCCCCGAGCCTGAGACTCGCCTGCCGCGGTTATCACTGGACAGATCGGCTGACATCAGGTGATTTTTCCTGGGGGTCTGCAAAGGGTGAGTGAAACATTCACCCCCAGAAAAACAAAAACGAAAGAAACTTTCCGAGAACAGGAGCTAGCGTGGAGAGCGTGGCTTGGAACGTTCACTCTTTGAGGTTTCTTGAAGTTTCCAAAACCCAAACTGTGCAATGCGTCTTTCTGTAGAAGTGGCACCTTTTGTTCCTCGGATCTGGCCCCGTCTCTAGGTGTGGGCTGGGTGGGGTCTTGGGGTGGCGCCCCTCTGATCCATTCCCTCCCTGGGCGCAGTCAACGGGGAGGAGCAGGGCGGGGGAGGGGCCCCGGAGAGCCGCAGCCCAGGCCGAGGTGTGGGATTTCTCAGGGGTCAATTTCTCACCCCTCAGGTCTGGGGTCTCCAGGGCGCGTTCATCTGGTCATTTCACAAGTACTGGTGAAACCCTGCCCGTCGGTCCCTCTTACCTCCCTCAGGACTTCTGTGTGTTGAGTCCCTGTGGCTGTGCCTTGGGAAGTGAGCCAGCTGCCGGCATCTGTGAAAAGTRTCATCTTTGTCCATGTGGGGCTGTTGGACACTGAAGGGACACTGACTGTTGCCTCATCTCTCTCTCAAGTTCCCACCCTCCTCCCTGCACCCCACGAGCATACCCTGGAGCAACTCCCACACCTAGCCCAGGCCTCCTCMTAGCAGGGGAAGTTTTCGTGGGATCCTTCCCCCAACATGCACTCTTTGGGTACACCTGTCCCACTCGGTGTCCTGAGAGTCCCCCCCACCCCTCTGGAAGGTGATGGACGTGGAGTCCGTTGTAGACTGGACTGTCAGTTTTTTGTTGGATGCAACCAAAATGTTCCAGGACAAAGTTGCCTCAAGACCAGTGCGACTTCTATTTTGAATGGAGGAGGGGGAGGAGGAGGAGGAGGAGGAGGAGGAGGAGGAGGAGGGAGAGAGAGAGAGGGGAAAGGGTGGGGCGGTCCTGCCTCTCAGGCTGCCTCTTTAAGACTTTCGGGGGTCCGAAAAACAAAAGGAGTTTTCTGTTTTGTTTGGTTTGCTTCTTCTGTTTTACTTGTAGTGACTCTTGTTTTTCTGCCAGGGAAGCCAGCCTGGGAACAGCCCTGCCCTTGGGGCCTGTGTGTGAGCACAGCCCCCTGAAGTCTGGCAGCTTCTGTGTCCGGCCTGTCCTCTGTCTCCCCACCCCCACACCTGTCCCAGACCCTGAGGGACGCTAGCCTCCCGTCCTGTCCGTGTCTTGCTCAGACTCTCAGACAAGAGCCAGGGGCTCTGATTCTGCAGAGTGTTCAGTGGTGGCTGCCCGCTGTCTATGTCCCCCCTGCGCCCAAATCTGAACGGGCAGGAGATCAATGAAGGCTCCAGGCCCCTTTCTGGAAGTTAATCTGGACCTGGTGTCGGACGTCTTGGGCCGACTTCAGGAGGGACTCCCTGCCTTCAAAGGCTCCCCACCAGGAGGAGCTGCCTGGGTTGGTGAAGGCAGTGCCAGTGGTCACCGCCGGCTGAAGGACAGGGTGCTGGGCAGGGGAAGGTGTGGAGGTGACATGAGGCAAGGGATGATGAGGACCTAGGGGAGGGACYGAGGCAGGGAGAGACCACAGGTTTGAAGTCCAAGTCTTCTGATCGCCAGGGTGGCGTTGGGTAGGGGGTGGGGGCCATTTGCCCTCCTGCCTCTGTTTCCCCAGCCTGTACCTGAGCGTGGTGGCTGAGGAGATGGTGGCCTTTGAAAGTCTCACCTTTTGTGGCGCCTGGCAGGCCTGCTGGGCCCTGTCTTCAGTCCAGCAGAGGGGGCCACTGCTGGCAGGCTGGCTGGCTCTGCTGGGCACAGCCCCGGACACAGCAAAATCTGTGAATCCARGAGAGTCAAAACCCGGCTCCTGTGGTTTTTTGGCTTGCGGATAAACTGCTCAGCAGTCGGGGAGTAAGGGTAATGCGGGGACCCCTTCCTGCCAGGAGCCCCATGCCATCCGTCAGCTGCTCTGCCACCTCCCTCCTCTGCATGCCTGTCCAGCCTCGCTCTTCCCTGGCAGGAGTCAGCRTCGGTGGCTGGGTGGCATATTTTAGGGACCCCTCCCTTTCCACAGGGCTGCTCTTCTGGCCTATTTCATTAGCCATTGAGAAGGAAAATCAGGAACATTTGTTCACGCTCTGCTGGGACGCAGCCTCGGGAGGGGGGCTTGGAGCCAGCACTTGGTCCCACGGAGCACAGGCTGCTTGTGGATCAGGCGTTTCTGCAACTGATGCCGCTGAGCTAAGATGCCAGGCTGGGCTCCTCCTGCYGCCCGGGCTGCCACCCTGGACCCGCATCAGCGCTCCATCTGATGAGTGGGGGCTGAGAGCGAGCCACTTTTTAAGAAGAAAACCAGGCTTACGGGATGAGACCCCCGGTTTGCACCAGGCAGAGCAGGGCTTTCATCCGGGTCTTATTATCTTGTGATCCAGCCCTCGCTCCTGTTCACACACTGAGGCTGGGTCCCTGAGTGAATTCAACAGCTGGAAAATGAGCACAGACAAGCTCACCGCTGGTGGGTGAGTGTTTCCATCCACGCAACAGAATGGAGTGGAGAGGTCGCTAAGCAGGAGTTAGGAGAGGCGTGTCCCAGCCTTCAATCTCTCCCAGATAGAGCTGTGTGAACTCCACAAAGTCTCCAGCCCTCTCTGAGCCTGTTTCTCCTTTTTCTTTAGAAGAATCATGGCAAGGTGGTTAGACAGCCTGGGCTCAAATGATGGTGAGTCTTCATATCCGACTGTGACCTTAGGCCCTTCCACCTCTGGTGCCTCAGTTTCCTGACCTAGTAAATATGGAGCCAGTATACCGCATCAGACTGTTGTGACCTGTCAGTGAGATAGAACGTGTCAGATGCCCAGAACATAGTAAATGCTCAATAATGCTCACCATCATCGCTGCCTTCATTACTGTTATTTTTAAATGACACAGTAATATTGGAAGAATCAACTTGGATCCTTCGCAATCATCCTGGCCACGGATTTGTGGGTGTGCAAAACATTTGCTCATGAGGTAGAAGACAAGGGCGAATAGTTCTTTTTTCCCTGCCTCGTAGAGGGACTCTTCTGAGTCTTATAATTGTCCTTCTGGTGGCCCCATCCCTGTGGCAGGAAGCCCAACTTGACGTCACTGAAATGTCCGGATTTCTGGCGCTTGAGGGAAGCTCTCTGCTCGGCCACATTGCGGTCCCTCCCTCCACCCTCTTTCCCGTCCCTAACTGCCCAGCGAAGACCACATGTGCAGATCATAAGTCTAAGCTGATAAACTGCGCCCAGGTCCTCCCAACCAAAGGCCACCTTCCTAGAGGCCACTTTGCACTTTCAAATGAATAATCCGCGCTCTGTCCATTGCTTCGTGTCTGGCTGGCCCGCCTGTCTGCCTCTGCCCCTGGTTGGCTGGGTGACCTGGGCTGGGCCCCGTCTGTGATTTAAGGCTTCGGGGTCAGGAGCGCCCAGGCTGCCCCTCCCCGCCTCCCTCCGGGCAGATGGCCGCTCTGAACCAGTCCACTATGGGACAGGAGCTGGACCCTGCATGGTAGGATGGGCAGACACAGCCCCCGCCATGTCCCTGGCCGATCTCTTTCTCTGACCTATCTCGTCTTGCGCCCAAGGTCCTGAGAGCCCAGGCCCGGGGAGGGAGCGCTGAGGTCTTAGGTGGCCCCCCCCCCGCCCTGCCTCTCATTACCATCCAGGCTCCTTCTGGGAGTCCGTCTTTTTTCCCTGCCTACGGTCCTTTGCCATCTTGGGGTCAGGGAGGGCTAAGAGTTTGGGGGTCCTGGCTGTTCACAGGCGCGGAGTGATCCCAAGAAGCAACCAGAGTTGCACTGGCTGGAGGGGTGCGTGGGGGCGYGGGGCGTTCCGTCTGGCTTCTGCCTGTGCGGTGCCGTGCGGCCTTGGGCTCCTCATCCCTGGAATCCGAGTAACAGCAACATGGGAAGCTAAGTAACTCCAGCTGCCGGAGCACAGGCCCCAGGTCTCAGGGGCCCGACACCTTATTGATGGTGTCACTGGGCCAGCGTGGGACTGTTTTGCTCCCCGCAGTTGCTCCCGGAGCCGGGCTGAGGGCGACTCTGCCATCTTTGTGGC